AACACGATTCCCCTTACCGCCTAGTCTGAATTTAGGGCAGAGGTGTCCGAGGAAAGCCTTTTTTTTTTTTATTGTGGTAAAAGTCACAGAATATAGAACATACAATATTAACCATATATAACTGTACATTTCAGTGTCCCCGAGTCCATTCACATTGTTGGGCAACCGTCACCATCATCCATCTGACCTGGGAAAGTCTTTCTTCCACCCATAACCCTCAAGCTCCTTGGGTATATAGCCTGGCCTGTAGAGTCTTGACCAGGTGAGTGGACAGATGATGATGATAAGGATGAGCAAATATAAAGAGCCTCTCTCAACAAGCTGTCTTCTCTGTCCCTTTGCCTCCTGGGGCCTCAGTTTCCCCATCTGCAAAATGGACTTGTTGGGGGTATCTCTTGACGAGTAAGAAAATGCACTGTAAGCTGTGAAGTGCAGGGCCATCACAGAGCCTGTGGGACTGCGGCCCCCAGAAGCATCTTGGGATGAGAGGGGAGGGTCTCTCCTGTTGACCTCCTGAGAGCCAGGATGGGAGAAAGCTCAGCTGGGTACCTGGTACCTGGGTACCTGCCCTGGCTCCTCTCTGGGCTGGTCTCCTCCAGGCCTGCGGCTCAGGGTAGCATCAGAGGAATGATCCCATGAAAGTTTGTCTGCCCTGCCCCCCTCCACTTCCTCAACCTGGCCCCCCAGCCTGGGACTCAGCGTTATCACTCACTCCTGCCCTCCCTGGGGTGAGGACCCCCTCTCCCCTGCAGAGATGGCCCCAGGATCTGAGCTGGGTTCTCGTTTCTCCATCTCCTCCCACGGATTCATCAGATTCATCACAGTGCCTTTAGCACCCTGCCTGCGGGTGCCTTTTGGCAGTCTGCAAAGTCGATAGAGAGATGACATTGGTCGCTGAACCTCTTGCAGTTTCATAGATAAGAGAGCTGAGCTCACCCGGGAGGTCACAGGACTGCATGCGCAGCAGCAGGAGGACCCGGGCCTCGAGAGCACGGCCTTCCCAGCAGAGCGGGGGGTGGGGAGGGGGTGTTTTCTTTCTCCCCTCCACCAGCTGTTTCATCTTTTACGGGAGGGTCACCCATGACCAATTAACCCTCTTTGGTTCCTCTGGCCAGGATGGGGCATGGCAGAGCAGAGGACAGAAAAGCTTCCCTTGCCCGGGGTGAGAACTCCCCTCGGAGGTGAGGACAGACCCCAGGGCCGGGCCCAGCCAGCCCCCAAGACGGCACCAAGGACCTGACGCCCTCGCACCTCCCTCCTGTCTGGGCTCTGACGTTCACTGCGTCTCTCTCTAGTAAAGTTTTCTTTCCCAAAGCTTCAACCTCGTCTCCCACGAGAGAAGGAGAGCTGGGGGACGCTGAGGGCTGTGGCCTGGGGAAGGGATTCAACCAATCCCCTCACCCCTACCAGGACTTTCAGGAGAGAAACCCGCAAACAGCATGGGTTTGGGGGCTCCCAGGGGGCCCCCAGCCTCTCCCTCCTATGAGCAAATATAAAGAGCCTCTCTCAACAAGCTGTCTTCTCTGTCCCTTTGCCTCCTGGGGCCTCAGTTTCCCCATCTGCAAAATGGACTTGTTGGGGGTATCTCTTGACGAGTAAGAAAATGCACTGTAAGCTGTGAAGTGCAGGGCCATCACAGAGCCTGTGGGACTGCGGCCCCCAGAAGCATCTTGGGATGAGAGGGGAGGGTCTCTCCTGTTGACCTCCTGAGAGCCAGGATGGGAGAAAGCTCAGCTGGGTACCTGGTACCTGGGTACCTGCCCTGGCTCCTCTCTGGGCTGGTCTCCTCCAGGCCTGCGGCTCAGGGTAGCATCAGAGGAATGATCCCATGAAAGTTTGTCTGCCCTGCCCCCCTCCACTTCCTCAACCTGGCCCCCCAGCCTGGGACTCAGCGTTATCACTCACTCCTGCCCTCCCTGGGGTGAGGACCCCCTCTCCCCTGCAGAGATGGCCCCAGGATCTGAGCTGGGTTCTCGTTTCTCCATCTCCTCCCACGGATTCATCAGATTCATCACAGTGCCTTTAGCACCCTGCCTGCGGGTGCCTTTTGGCAGTCTGCAAAGTTGATAGAGAGATGACATTGGTCGCTGAACCTCTTGCAGTTTCATAGATAAGAGAGCTGAGCTCACCCGGGAGGTCACAGGACTGCATGCGCAGCAGCAGGAGGACCCGGGCCTCGAGAGCACGGCCTTCCCAGCAGAGCGGGGGGTGGGGAGGGGGTGTTTTCTTTCTCCCCTCCACCAGCTGTTTCATCTTTTACGGGAGGGTCACCCATGACCAATTAACCCTCTTTGGTTCCTCTGGCCAGGATGGGGCATGGCAGAGCAGAGGACAGAAAAGCTTCCCTTGCCCGGGGTGAGAACTCCCCTCGGAGGTGAGGACAGACCCCAGGGCCGGGCCCAGCCAGCCCCCAAGACGGCACCAAGGACCTGACGCCCTCGCACCTCCCTCCTGTCTGGGCTCTGACGTTCACTGCGTCTCTCTCTAGTAAAGTTTTCTTTCCCAAAGCTTCAACCTCGTCTCCCATGAGAGAAGGAGAGCTGGGGGACGCTGAGGGCTGTGGCCTGGGGAAGGGATTCAACCAATCCCCTCACCCCTACCAGGACTTTCAGGAGAGAAACCCGCAAACAGCGTGGGTTTGGGGGCTCCCAGGGGGCCCCCAGCCTCTCCCTCCTGGGCAGCCCCCTCCCTCGGAGGCTTGGCGTCTTGTGTCCTGGCGGGCTCAGGAGGACGGAGAGGTGGAGGAGGGGCAGGCGGCCCTTCTTGGCCTCCAAGGTACACTCGTATCTCATGGGCTCTTTTTCAAGGGCAGATTTCAATCCGGCAAGATTCCGCCCCCTCCCCACCCAGATGTGCCGAATTGAAACCTGCCCTTTAACAAGGTGAAGAGGGCAATGGCAGGCCGCTCCAGCACTCTTGCCTGGAGAATCCCAGGACGGCGGAGCCTGGTGGGCTGCCGTCTATGGGGCCACAGAGTCGGACACGACTGAAGCGACTTAGCAGCAGCAGCTTTAACAAGGTGCGGAGACGAGGCCTCCGTGATTCCCGCCAGGCGAGGCTAGTGCTGCTACGAGTCCAGGCCCTTCACTGCACAGCCAGCAGCAGTGAGCAGAGGGTCTCGGCCCGCTGGGCACTGGGGGCATCTCTCCACCTTGGCGCAGGACCTCCTCTGTGCCGTTTCCATCAGTGAGCACAGACACACACACGCACACACTCAGTCACTGTCCCACTGGCCTGGGAGCTTCCAGAGACACAAACTCTATCCTATGCACCTTTGGAAACCTACACGTGCGCGACCTGTCATTGACAAACATTCCTGAAAGAGCATGTAGGTGGCTCTCAGAAAACTGCCCACAACCCTAAAGGAATCTCAGCTGGGGGAGCCCTGGACCCAAACCCCAGAGCAGAGGACCAAGAGACACTGGGGACTGCTCCGGAGCCCCTAAATCTGTGGCCATCCGGTTCCAGACTCTCCTGTTCCCCAAGGAAGGGGTCCCAGGCAGCTGGGAAGGTTACAGGGAAAGGAGGTCCCCAGGTGTGAGGCAGGAACATGGGCGCCAGTGGGGGAGCCGGCAGGGCCTCCTGGCGACACCCACCTTGTCTGAATGCTCCCACGTTCTACCCACCCTGCCCCCAGCCACGCGGACACCCTGGCCCAGTGGAAGCACCCCCGCTTCCCACCGGCCACTCCGGCCCCATCTCCCCACAAGAATACAATCCAGAAAGCTTGCCAAGAGCAGATTCTTTATTAATTTTTTTCTTTAAAAAAAAAGTATTCCTTCAGTATAAAAAATAAATATCTTAAATATGGACATTGAATAAATAAAAATAATCTGTCAGTATGAAACATTCCCACAGGGTACATTCATCAAAGAGGAATTTGTCCCCCAAGGCCAAGTCCTCTCCAGTAGAAAGGAGGGAGGGAAACAGGGAAGAACGCACAGAGCTCGCCATGTGGATGGGAGCGATGCCCAGGTATGGGGTGGGTGGGNCGGGGCCGGGCCTGGGGAGGGGTGGAAGTGGGTTGAATCACTGGTCCCCCACGCCTCGGAGGCTTCCCAGGTGGCCTGGCACCGGGAGTCTTGTGTCCAGGGGTGATGAGATGATGGGAGGCCAGGCGGCCCCAAGCCTTCCGAGCTGTATTCACAGGAGGAGCAGAGTGAGGGGGGGGACAGCAGGCTGAGAATCTGGACAAGGCTGGGGGTGACCCTTGTTAAGACGGTGTCGGAAAGCACGTAACCCATGGTGGTCTGCTCTGCCATCCGCTGCAAAGGTCTTGCCAATGGGACGGGCAGCTCCCACCGCCAGCCCCAACCCCGGGTCTTGGGGCCTGCCTGCCGCCTGCCCATCTTGCCATCCCGATGGGCACTTGGCACAGGTAAAGTGCTTAGAGGAGACAGAGAGGTGCAAAGTGAGTGCAAAAGTACCATCACCGTGCTGGCTGAACGGCAAGGCTCGCCACTCCGCTCAGGGTTTGAGAAGAAGCCAGAACCCTGATCTGAGCAGCTGCCCCAGCTCCCAGACCGGAGGGCGTTGCTCGGCTCGCCTGGCCCCGGCACAAAGGAACAGGATCGGGTTCCCTGCCTGGGAACCCAGACATGGGTGGGGGTGTGGGGGGAGGTGGGGCAGGAGGGACCACAGCTTCCTGGTCTGCGTCCTAGGGCCTCCTCGTCCTCCTGCCCGGGGCAGGGGCCTCCTCCCTGGGGCCGCCCCAGCTTCCCGCGAGGCAGCCAGGCCCCCTCGCCCTCTGCGGGCATTTGGGCCACCGTAGAAGGCACCTCCCACTGGGTGCGGGTCAGGACGGTTACGGGGCCCCTCGACTGCTGGTCTAGAGGTGGCCGGGGCAAAAGAAAGAGCGGCAGCTTGCCTTGCCCAAGGCTTCGTCTCCGCCGTGAAGGTTGCCTCGCAGCACAGTCCCGGGGGCACCCAGAGCGCAGTGCTGAAGGAGCCCCTTGGAGCCGAGGAACGACGGCCCCCAGAGCCGGTCCCAGTGGCGCCGGGTCCCCTGCCCTCACCCAGACTGACCAGTCCTCCCAGCTCCTAAGCCTTCTCTGAGCTTCACCCGTAAGGCTCACCCTACCTTGCAACATCTTTGACTTCCAGACCAGGTCCTTGTGAAGGCTTGGCCCCCAGCTCCCATAGGAGGAACCGTCTTATTATTTCCGTTGGAGAGAGGGGAGCAGGGAAAGCGGGGTGAGCTTTTGCCATTTGAAGCACCAATAAGTTAATATAAATAGGGCATCAAAATAAATAGACAATCATGCTGAGTCAGGCACACGGCACTCTTGGCTCTCAGGCTTCCTGAGACCCTGACCTCAACTCCCGCCATCCCCCTGCTCCAGGGACCAGCAATGGATGGCCTCTGGTGCCCCTGGCGAGACCTCACGGGGCCTCGGTGGGCCTCAGAGGGGAGCTGCCACTCTGACCTACTCCATCCGCAAACCCTTGCCCACAAGACTCTGGATCCCCTCAGAACCTCCTCACCTGACTTTGCAACCTGCCTGCCCCCATGTATCCCACCTCCAGGTCCAGCCCCGCGGCCAGTTAGGATGGCAGGACAGACTTTGGGCTCAAGGAAGGGGAGCCCGTCAAGCCTTGCAAGGGCCTCTCTTCCTTCCCTGGCCTACATGTGGCCTCTCTCTGCCTCCCCGAGCCTGGAGGGCCAAGTGGGCCTCCTTCTGGAAACTTCCACCTGACAGCTGTAGGCCTGAACTCCCCAGTCACACCCAAGCAAGACAGCATCCCAAACCAGAGCTCCCATTCTAGACTTCCAACTCGCCATACCTGTAGGGGCCAAGGATCCTTCTGGATCCCAGCCCCTCTGGGCTGCCTGAGCTCCAACCAGACCTTTCAAGGTCCGCCGAGGCACTGATGGTGGTCATTCTGCTGGGGGGTTAGTGCCCCCGACCCCTGCTGTCTCGCCCTGTGGCCAGGGTCACCAGAGACAACTTGTGTGGTTTGCTCACGAAGACCCTGGCCAAGGGGACGAGTCGGGAGCCGAAATCCAGCCCGACACCGAGCGCCCGGCTGCAGTCTCCCAGAAGAAGGGGTGCCTTCCTTTCCAGTTGGCACCACATACACGTTCTGCTTCTGGGAGTTCTGGCTCTGCTCAGCTTCCTGGCGGCCCACCCTGGAGGGGAGTGGACCGGCCAGGATTCCCCCTCGGGGGTCCTCCAGCAGCCCCCACTCGGGTCTGGCGGTGCTCCGGGCCACGGCCGCAGTTGGAGAGTCCCCTACTATCTCAGACCTCCGGTCTAGAAGGCCTGGGCCAGCACGGCGATGACCTGCTTGTACTTCCCCAGGAGCTGGCAGCCCAGCTTCTTCTTCTGGAAGACGTCCTTGCCCGAGGTGTCGGGGCCGTAGGTCACGTCGACGTGGCCCACGTGGTGCTTGCTGCACAGCCGGCAGAGCACGTTGCTGAGCAGGCCCCGCAGGACGTCGGCCGTGGCGCTCAGCCTGCTGTGCAGGCCGTGGGCGTAGGGGTTGAGGACCTTCTGGTCCCGCGTGATGTTGCCCAGGGAGGCGCCCAGGTATGCGATGATGCGGTACAGCTCCACCAGGCGGGCCTTCTCCGTGCCGTTGGCGTGGAAGGGCGGGAAGTCGGTCACGTTGGGGCCGCACAGCTTGTCCAGGTTGTTGGGGAAGGGCTCCCCCTGGGCCGTGTACTGCGGAGCAGAGGGGCAGAGGGGCGGTGACGTGGGAGGCAGGGACAGCTGCTCCGGCCCTGCCGCCAGCCTGTGGTCAGACTTTGGGCATCAGTGCCGCACCCCCCATACACACACACACACACACACACACACACACACACACACAGGCTTGACAACCCAATCACTTGCCCTGCAGGCATCTCGGGACTGTCCTGAGAGCCAGAAGTAGCGGTGGGCGTGAATGCACTTGGTAAAGCATCCAGCCTCTGTCCCACGCAAGGAGGTACCCTCCTCATCACCCGAATCAGGACCACAAGGGAGAGAAGGGAAAACACCAGGTCTCACCTCCAGCGCGTGTGCACCACATACACTTGCCCTTTCACCCACCGCATTCACCCTCTTCCTGGGCGGCTCCACACCCCGTCACCCACAGCACCTCCCCAGTCCCTTCCACCGCCTCCCCCTGTCTCTCATCTTCCTCTCCCTCCACCAAGTGGACAAATCCCAACGCTAGAAGTGCCAGCCCTGCCTGCTGCCCCTTCTCCGGGCGTCTCTGCCCCTCTCCATCGACCTAGGCACCCTGGGAAAGAGGCCGGGCCTCGCTGGGGGGATGGGGAGGAAGCTGGTGGGGGAGGTCTGGGTGCGGTGGGACAAAACCCCACACCCTTCCCTTCTCTGACCAGCCACCGCCAGCCCAGGTCCCTGCTTGCAGACCCCAGCCCCTCCCTGCCTCATTCTTCGCCCCGAGGGGGAGACTTACATAGAGGATAAAGAGGCTGTTGGCACTGCTGTTGAGCTGTCCCAGCTGGTTTCTGATCTGGTTCATGAGGTTGCTGGGACATGGATGGCGGGTGGCACAGGTGGCGTTGACCGGGGTGATGGGGAGGGGGTTCCCGGCCCCCTGTTTCCAGTGCAGAACCAGCAGCAGGGGCACGACTCCTGCGAACAAGCGGGGGAGCCATGAGCAGGGAGTTGGGGGCGGGCGGGGCGGGCAAGCTGGCTTAGGGGAGAGGTTGCGACTCTGGTCCTGCGGGGACGGTCCCCTCTCAGGCTCCAGGTCTCTCTTCTCCAGACCTGGCGGTTTCTGATTTTCACGATGTCCCTGCATCTGCCTCTCCACATCGCTAACTCTCCCTGTTTATCACTCCCTGCTCTCTCCTGAGGGGACCAAGGGGGACAGGACGTGAGCTGTTCCTATCAGTTGGAAACTGGGTTTAGAGTGATACCAACCCTCCAGGCCTCTGGCTGGAGGGGACGACGCCCCAGGTCTCAAGGAAAAGATCAGTCCTTAACTCTCCAGGTCCAGATTCCTAAGTGTTATTCCTAAGTGTTACTGCATGCTCCTGTCTCCCAGAGGGGGCTCCCACGAGGCCCACAGGGAGCGGGAGTTTCTACTGACCCTCATCTCCCAAACTTGTCTCATGATGTGGGCTGACTGGCCCCTTTGTCCCCTGATCCTGTCACCTTCCCCAGCTTCTCTGTGGTCCTCCTCCTCCAAATGTGGCCAGTCCCCTATCTGGGACCCTGGACTCCACCCCAGGGCTGCAACTCTGCCCCCTTCTCCAGCGCCAGGGCATCCTTCAGAACCTCCCTTTCTGGCTCCTGGCTGCTCCTGGCCTCCACGCTCCACCCCCACCACCCCCCCCACCCCGCAACACACACACTCTTGTTCACTGGTCCCCATCCCAGGTTGCAGGTTAGGACAAGGAGAATCCTGGGGTTCCACAGACGCCCCCAGAGCCTTCGAGAGGGAGAGGGAATGGTGCAACCAGGAAAGAAAAAGGGAAAAGGTAGCAGGCAGCCAGGTGGGCAGGGGAGGGAGGGAAGTGAAAGGTGAGAGGGAGAGGGGAGAGCTGTCCAGGCCTGTCCAGGAGCGCCCCTCCCCACCGGGGAGGGGAGGGGGCCCCTACTTGCCACCCACCCACCTCTGCCTTCCAGGTGACCCTTCAGCAAAGGCTGAGGTCAGAGGACCTGTGAGAGTTGGAGAAGCGAGGAGATTGGAGGAAGGGGAGGCGCTCTGGAGTCCGTTCCTCGGCTGGGACAGTGCAGCCTCGACTTCTCTTCTGGGTCCCCTGTGCCTCCCAGCATCTCCAGGCAGGGCTCAGGTCCCAGGATGGCTGGCGGGGGGTGCGGGGGGTGCCCCACACCCCAGGCTCACCTAGCACAGACCACAGCTTTCCGGGCTCTAGCAGATGGAGGCGGCACCTGCTCCTGTCCCGGGCCGGAGTTTGCGAGCTGCTCGGGCGGCCGGCGCCCCTCCCAGGGAGCAGCCGGGGACGCGGTTGGAAAAGAAAGCGGAAAGAAAGAAAGAGAAAGAAAAGAGGGAGGGTGAATCCCGGAGAAAGCTGAGCGGGAAGAGCAGCGGCAAGAGTGGCAGGAGCGAGGAGGAGGAGGAGGAGGAGGAGGAAGGCAGCGGCGCCCCCTGCCTGGCCCGCCAACCTGCGGGGCCCGGGGCGGGCTGGGCGCGCGGTGCCGGCACCATGTGCCTGCGCTCGCTCCCGGCGGCTGCCGCCACCCGGCGCCTCCGGCGGCCCCGGGCTCCCGGCTGCGCGGGCGCCCCAAGTGTCCGTGTGTCTGCGGCGGGTGGGTGTCCCGCTCGCGATCGCCAGGGGCCCCAAGTTTGCCGCGGCGCCCGCGGCCGGGGCCCCGGCGGCAGCCAGCCCGGGGCGGGGGGCGGGTGGATTTACCTGCCGCCAAGACCTTCATTATGGGCCGCACTCCAGAAGGCCTTGAAGGAGACCTTAGATGCCGGCAGTTTTCAGAGGTTCATGCTCAAGTGGGGAATTTGCCTGATTTATATACTGGAGCCTGTGTTGTAAGACAGAGAGAGAAACAGCTATATTTAGCAGGGATCCCCGGTCCAGGAAGTTGTTTGAGGTGCATCATAGGAAATTATGAATGGAAGAAAGTGAGAGTGAAGGGGGGGCGGTGAGGGGGGAGGGTGGGGAGAGCAGACTTTTTCCCTCTTCTAAGAATTTGATTGATAAAATTATAATGAACTCTTCAACAAAACACCCTGCGGTTTTCCTGAGCGGCTTGCCCTAGGAGTTGTTTGAAGATGGGGAGGGGAGGGAGGGTCCCCGAGTCGTCAGGGTCCCCCCTCCCCCGGGGAAGTGGGCGCCCCAGACAACCCTGACTCACCTGGGTTTGGGGAGGTGGCTTGCAACCAGGCAAGGAGATGGAAGCTGCCACCTGCAGCCCCCTGGTCAAGGGGTTTGGAGGGGGACAGTGGGGAAGAGGCAGGCTGGGGCTTGGCTGAGGAGGAGGTTCCAGGAAGAGGGGCTGGGGCCTTGGCGTGGACTTTAGACGGCAATAAAGCGAAACTGAACGTGGGCCCTGGAAGCCACTGCGGGGATGGCCTCCTCCATCCTGCCCGCTGCCACCGGGCGAAGCGGGGCTCCCACGGGGACAGGTTGCCCAGGGTCCCACACGGTCAGGCCTCCTGAGTGCCATCAGCAAGCCGGCGCTGCTGGCCACGGGGATAGCGGTGGGGCCCAGGAGGGGGCTGGCAAGATGAAAGCTGAGGGGCTGCTGTGACTGCCTTCTCTGGGGAGACCCTGGGGAGGAGCTTCGGGGAAAGTGTGGTGTGTCTGGAGTTTGCCTAACCTCTCGGCACCCTTTTGGGGAGGGTGGTCCTGCATTTCCATGTTGAAAGGACGTTTGAAGCAGAGACTTAGCCAACTGAACCCAGGCTTGCTCCTCGGGATGTGGAGAGATGGTTGGGGAGAACAGAGCGGCTTGGAGGGCCTTTGGGGCTCAGCATCAGAGCAGGGTGATGGCCCCCTAAAGGCGCTTCTGGAGCCTGTTAGGCAGAGTCACGGATTCTGGCGTCTTTAGTGGCAGGTAGGTTCACAAATGAATGAGGGGCAGGAAGGAATGGTGAGGGGTAGGGAGAATGAGCATGGCAACCCCTCCCCGTTAAAAAGCATTCAAAAAACAAAAAAACAGAGGTGGGGGAGTGCTGGTCAGGCACATATCTGGGGCCCCACTGCCAGGGGTGCCCCCGTCTTTTTTGCAGGAGATTCTCCTGCCCCTGGGATCCACCACGGCCCTCCCACCTGACCCTGAGCAGCGAGCCTGGCGGGAGAGTTGGTTCTCCAAGGCCAGGGAGACCCGCAGCCTTTCCTTGGCTCCCAGTTTCCTCAACCATCCCCCCCCAACCCCCGCCGCGTGCCCCCAGCTCCCACCTCTTGCCACATCCCGGACCTGCCCAGCCACGCGTTCCTTCCTCCCGCTTCGTGCCAGGACGAGCCCTCCTGCGGCTGCCATGCCCCCTCCCCCCACACACGCCCTGCCCGCTCCAGGCTGCTTCCTCCCGCTCGCTCTCCCAGCAGGGCCTGAACGTGGGGCTGATAAAACTGCCCATCCCAACGGGCACTTCCCAGCGGGGAGGAGGAGGCTGGCAGGGCCCACATTGGCTTTCCTTCCCCTTCCTATCCGCTCCGCACCTTGTGCCTCCCCTGGGGGCCACGAGAGGCCCCACCTGGCACTTAGCCCCGCTGTGTGTACACCCCAGGGAATCCCAGGTCACCTCCCTCTCATCACCCCCCACCCCGAGTCTCCCCTGCACAGGGGCCTGACCACTCAGGGACCACACGCACCCCTGACATCTCCCAGACCCTTGTCGTTTGACTCCGCCTGACTTTGGATGGGGACCCCCAAATGCATTTGAGGCCCCCATCTCTGGATCCTCTGGTTCCCCGAGCATCTCACTAGGTGCCCTGGGTCTCCCTCCTGCCTTCCAGGCCTGGACCCTCCAACCTCCTTCCCAGTGGACTTGCCAGGTCCTGCACTGCCCTCTGGCTGCCCAGACCCCCCTCAGCCCTATAAAACACCCCCCCCCCCGAACGCCATGTCATCTCAGCCCCACCCCACAGGAAACAGGAAGTGGGGCCGAGTCTACAAGACACTTCACCACCACCCCCACGCCCTGACAGGCCCCCTCCCACTGCCTCACTTTCCCCTCTCACGGTACCTGACTTGGTCCGTGCTTCCCAAGTGCTCTGGGCCCCTCGGCACCCCAGGCCCAGCCTCCCTCTCCTGTCCATGTCCGGCCACCACCTGCGCCGGGCCTCTCGGGGATGAAGGCCAAGCAGGGTCTCAGAGCCGCCTGCAACGTGGCCGCGGTCCCTGGGAATCAGCGGCCCAGGCCGCGCTCCAGGCCGGCTTTGGTCTCCTGGAGTTTGTTTTCTTCCCTCCCTCTCTACGCTGCTGTGTGTGTGTGTGTTCCCCCCCGCCCCAGCTTCCTCACGGAAGGCAGCCTCCCTTCTTGGCCGCCTGCTCCCAGGGTCGTGACCCCAGGCCCCACCCTGGAGTGGCAGCCCCAGCCCGGCCCCTTCCAGCTGTGACTTCATCCCCAGCCTGTCCTGCTCCTGCACCACTGGGCCTGCTGGGGATCTGACCGGCCTCGGGTGAGGGGGACACTCGGGCCCACGCGGCTGGGGCCGGGAGCTGCTCCTCTGGGCGGCCGCGCCATCCACCTGCTCATCTCCTTTCTCCAGAAAGCAAGTCCAGGGCCGGCCTGGGGCCTCCCTGGGCCCCTCAGAGCGATTTCTCTGCCACTCACTTTAGCACATGTGGCCACCAGCCTCTCCTTTTCTGTTGATCCTCATTCACCAGCCACAAGCCTTAGAATGTCAGATGTCTTATTTTCTGACGGGGAAACTGAGGCTCAGAGAGGTGAAGGCACTTGCCCAGAGCGGTACAGAGAGTTAACAGTAGAATGGGGCCTGGGTCCCCAGCCGCCCGAAAGAGGGCCACATCAATGCCGGCAGCCCCTCACGCTGAGAGGGGAGTGAGGAGTTGTGGGCTGCATTCAGGCCACTTCTTCCAGGAAGCCTCCCCTGGCCTCTCACAGCCCAGTGGGGCTGAATCTGCCTCATCCTGCCCATTCTCCTTTCAAGTGGGAACAAGACTCATTCCTCGCTGTTTGAATGCTTGCGAAGGGTCTGATCCTCCATTTGGACTCTTGAAAGCACCTGGCTTGGGGTTATATCAGAGCAGATGCTAAGTATTTTTTAAAAGCATTTTAGTTTCCAAAAGCTGTCTGTGCCAGGTCTCTTGGGCCAAAAAGACATGAAGTCTGGGTCGGAGGCATGGACTTCAGCCTCAGTCACACTCAGGTTAGAGGTTTGGCTCTGCCAGTGTTGAGCTTAGAGACTTTGAGGAAGTGACCACCTCCTGGCCTCAGTTTACTCATCTGTAAAATGGGTACAATGGCATCTATGTTGTGGGTTTTCTCTGCAGGCTCTGGCTCATTGCAGGTCTGGCCACCCAGCAAGCCCCTTTACTTGTCAGCATCATTCTTCTTTACTGCTCCCCTGTTCTTGTCCCCATTTTACAGATGAGGAAACTCAGGCATGCTCCAGGGCTAAAGGGGGAATGCGGGGCAGGAGAGAAGCCTGTTCATTCTCTCCTGATGGATAACAGAAGCAAAACAGCCTTGAACTTCCAGTTTCCAGGGTGCCCCAAGAAGATCAGATGGGTTGATGGGCCGGGGGTGGCATAGCGGTGGGCTCTCTCTCTATGGCCCATCCTGGCCCCTGACCACCCCCATCCCAGGCCTGAGCTGAAGAAACAGCGGCTGACCCAGCCTCACCGCCCCCAGGAGCTGATCATCCGAGAAGGAAGGAGACATAGCTCAGCTCAGAGGGGCTTGAATCACCAGCCGCCCCCTGCAGAGCCCTGGCGGGGGGGAGTTGCGGGGGCGGGGGACAGCCCCCTGCCTGTCTGTCTCTTTCCTGGGCCCCGGGGCATTCAGGGGAGAGGGCAACGTGGCAGTGGCCATTGGCAGGGGGTGGCAGGGAGGTACCCTTGCAGCCGGGCATCCTGTGTGGGCAGCCAGCAGCAGTTACTCACCAGGTAAGCAGCTCACTGGGCATTGGGGAATTCCCCAAGATTAGTGACCCAGAAACTGAGTCCTCCGGGCAACCCCCACCGCCCGGGCCAGCCCCCCTCCTCCCTTCCCATATCTCTTCCCTGTCCCCAGCTCAGATCTCAGTTCTCTGAAACCTGGCAGCTGCTGTCACCATCAGCTCACACCCCTCTCCTCGCCCTGATGCTCCCACCTGGGAAATGAGCACAGGGGAGTCAGGTGGGCCCATGGGAGGAAGTTGGGGGTCAGAGGGAGTGACCCGGGACCGTGGCTGGTGAGGGGCAGCCAGAGGAGACAGGAGAAGCCCAGGGATTCCTGGCACAGCCCTGGCAGTTGGGTTTCCTGTCCCCAAAGGCAAAAGCACCTTGTTATTTGGCATTTGAGAAAGGAGGATGTATTAGTAACTACACCTGCGGGGCCGCCCGCCTCCACCATCCACACACTCTCACGTAAGCTCTCGTGTACTTTCCTGTGGCTTCTGGGTCAGTTTTGCAAGTCACCTTGGGCCCTCCGGGGCCTGGGGTGGTTCTGGTACCCATGGTAAGGGTGTGGCTTAGAGCCAGGCAAGCTTGTATTTGAATCCTGCCCACGCTGCAGGTCGCTGTGTGACCTGGGACGACTGGCTTTCTCTGAGTCTCAGATCCCCCTCTGGGAGTGGGAATGCTGTAATACTGGACTCATGGGTTGGTCACGGGGATGTTAAGTGGGAAACACACAGTGCCTGCTACGTGGCAGCTTTTCTCACCAGAGCTCCGCAGTGGACACAGGAGGGGCTCAAACCCCAGCCTGAGTCAGGGGCTTGGATTGTGCCTGGGTCTGGCGATCAGTGTACCACCTGTGGTCTGAGAGTTAAGCCAAGGAGGACTCGTGGGTCCTCTCAGTACACAGAGTGTGGCGTGGATCCTTGGGGGAACAGGCAACCTCCCAGAGCCTCCGGGGGTGGGGGAGGACAGGAATACTTCCCGCCTTGGGAATAAGCGGTACTTCCCTTCCAGCTGTCTTTGGGGCACTTGAGGTCCAGTGCTGGGGCCTCTAGTCTGCTCTCCTCACCCTCACCCCATCAAATCTCGGTCAGGGGCCAGCCACATGTCCTCGGGAGCCGAGCAGGAGCTAGAAACCACCCTGGTCTCCTGCCAACTGCCCCCAGCATCATCCTGACATTTCCTGACCGGTTCTGCGTCAGGAATCACCCCCTGGAGGTGAATCAGAGTGACTGCATTTTTTCTTCAATTCTGATAGAAATGGCAAGGGAAGCAGCAGCCCACAGGACTCTGATCATCAGTGGGGTGGGAGCCTTGCCTCTGGGGTCCATGCCAAGTTGCACAGGGCCTGATGCACTTGGGGCTCTG